TGTATCATAGCTCGCAATTACGAAATTTGCGACCCTGCGTTCCTATGTGATTCCGAGTCATCTTTATACCCCTTACACACCCTGCAAGTTTGTCGACCTGGTAGGGAATATCTGTATATGTTCCGAGTCATCTCTGTACCCCTTACACACCCTGCGAGTTTTGTCGGCCTGGTAGCGAATCATCTGTATATGTAATATACAGGATGTTATATAAGTACGTCCTGATGGTTGCGAAAATAAACGTCGCTTAAGGTCGTTTTCTTTCTTTTTTTTTTTTTTGAAATTTTTGATTTTCGAAATAAGCAAGATGGAGAATTTAGTTTAGATCAAAATTTACTTAAAATGTATAAAACTTCAGAGTATTTTACTGAGCAAACTGCAATTAAGTATATACTTCTCATTCGAGAATTCATTAATAGATATTCCATATATCAGATTTTCTTTAGTCCGCTTAATTACATTTCAGCAAACGAATTAGTACATTATTTTTAACGCAGCCAAGTATATGTTATTGCTTTTTGTTTTCATTATTAAATAGTCTTATCTTAGCAAAAACAGTAATGAGCTAACTTAACTTTCTCTTCACTAACGCGAAATAATTGTTACATATTTTAAGTAAAAGTGATCCAGCGAAGGGAAAAAAGCTCACAGTTATGGCTTGAATAATTAAGCATTTTCTTCATTAAGTGAAATCCACATAATGTTAATTTATGATAGTATAATAGTATAGCAAATCCTCCCAGAGACGTAGCTAGAGTTTCAGCGCCAGAGACAACTAAAGATTTCACGCCCTTTCCTGTTTCCAAAAATGCAATGGGAAAAGAAAATGCCCTCTCCTCGTAGCTACGCGCCACTGAGTCCTCCTCTGCCGTTCTGAAGAGCTCGTTTTAAATATACAGCTTTATATTCTGCATCTTGAATTTCTAAACTACTAACAAATAAATTCTTAAACTAGAAGCATCAGGCCCATTGTAATTGTTTAACTTCATAATGTTTAAAGCGTTAAAATATAATTTGAATATGAAGATTAGAATGCTTTTTTCTCAGCTTGTGATTTTTCATATTTTTCAAAATTTTTAATGGTAAGTACGTCTATAGCGTGTTAGATTCTAATATGACGTTTTTAAACTGCGATTTTTAGATCTGCAATTAATTATTATTTGATCTGCCACAAAGTATTAAGGTCGGGTATTTGCACTGCTCCGTAAGACATTACACACCAAACCCTTTGACAATGAAGTCCCATCGCTTCGATCACTGGAAGAAATCCTGTCGTGAGAATCTCCCATGAGCTCATTGCTCTGTGAAATGCCACAACACTGATAATCGTGATGCTGAAGCGCTATGTGCAAATGGCAAAGGACAGTACGCATCATTTTCGTAACTATGCCCAAAGTGGAAGTCAGAAAGGAGGATACAGACGAATAAAAGTTACAAAGACTATTTCATATTTTAAAGCCAAAAGGTAAGTAGCACAGACGAAGCCAAGGAAAAAATTTTCTTATGCCAGTACAGTGAAATGGTTTAAGGTAATGATGAAAATATATTTAAAAAAAAGGGGGGGAGACAGAAAGAAAATTTCAGAGCCTCCCAAAAATCCAAATGGAAGTTGTTTTGGATGCATTAATTTAAAAAAAAAAATCTGAACCCTGATGTGGATGTGAAAGAGGACATGCACATTCCGAGGCACCTACTTCAAAGTAAAATGAAACAAAACAAGAAAAAAAAAAAAAAAAAAAAAAAGCACTGAAAAGCAGGCACCAATTATATTGGCTATCCTCGTTTCATGGAATTGTCATGGCTTCCATCAAAATCTTATTAACAGCAAAGATTTGATCTAGCTACAGCATCCTGTGTGTTTGACAATATAGGAAACTATGATCAAACTGGAACAAGCTAAGCTTCTGGAGTATTCTTCCGTCAGGAAAGATAATCTGGTAAGCGAGCGTGTCAGTGGAGGTTTAATCGCCTAAATCCCTTGAATACATTTCCAGTTTGATTTCTCTAACCACAAGCCTCCAATTGCTGCTATCCAAATAAGTATACGTGTATATGAGCCAGTTTCCCTTAGAAAGTACTGCACAAAGGCATCCCTCCCCTTAGGCAGATAGCCCTAGTGTGCTTTGTCATAATTAAATACACCACACCACACCACCAAATAAGTATGCGGAATTAAGTTTCAATATGTACCCTTTATTTGTCGCCAAATCACCACATCCATCAGCGACATTTAGATGCCTCGACAGAGCAGCTATCTGAACTCTTCATCATTCTAAGGATGTTTAATAGACATAGTACGCTCTGGAGAAATAAGAATACAAACTGAGGCAGACAAATTAAATAAATGATCGATGATCGTTGCCTCTGTTTCCTTAATAATAGACAGGATACTTATTTCGAGCCTACAAGGACATTTCATGCTCTCGATTTTGCCATCAGTTACCATCTGTTTTGACTTTCTGTACATTTAGTACTGAAAATGATCCTTAAAATAGTGATCATTTTCCCATGTTTGAATCTCTCACAAGAGAAGAAGTAAATCCCAAATCCTCTTGTTTTATATTCGATAGGACAGACTGGGAACTCATCTCTTACAAAGCTCACAGAAGAAATGATAAAAGATGTGCCTATCGATGATGTTGTGAAAGCTGTTACAGATGTCATTACTTTGACAGCTACAGTCTCTGTACCTGCTACAACAACAATGTCTCCAAAGTATTCAAAGCATGGCGGAAATGTGAATGCCAAGAAGAGCAGAGAAAAGCTTGGGAATTTTTTCATTTCCCACTTTGTTAAACCTTATCGCCTTTAAAAATCAAATCATACGCAAGAAAAATGAGACGTCAGCAGATAGGTATCAAATGTACCTTCAATAACATTCTCTACGCTACGTAAAAGAGTTTGGGAAAGAATTAGCATGCGGCATGTATAAAGACTTTCCCTTCCGAAAAATTATGACCATGGAAGAAATTGAAAATATTATTGGTGAGAGTGCCATTTCTAGTGGCAGCAATTACCCATCAACTTTTCTTTCAGTCAAACAGCAGGATGAGAAATACCCCATTGCTTTCACGTCTCCCAACTCGGAATGATACAACACCTTACATCATGACTAAGCTAAAAAAAATTTGTTAATGACACACAAGTGTAGTCTGGGTCTAGATGGTATCAGTTTTGAAATGCTAAAGCATCTCTCTGAAGTCATTGTCTGCCCTTCTCGCTTTTTACAATCGTATGTGGAAGGAACGTACTTTTCCCAATGCATGGAAGAAATCTATTGTTATTCCAATACATAAGGCAGGAAAACACCCGAAGAATTCATTTAGAATTGAATTGAATTCATTTAGTGAATTTTATACAGTTTTAATAACGTAGAATGGATTTAACCTGTGTTTGGCATAGTATAATCATTTCCAGTTTTGTACCATTAATTTTAACAATAAACCAACCATATGGATGAAATGTACTTTGCCTTTGTTTATAACGCATAACTAAGTAACATATTTTAACTTCATTTATTTTTAAGTTTAAAACGTATTTTGCAAAATAATCATATTATTTTATTTAACAGTTTCATGATTCAAGTTTAAGATGTGTTGCCTAAAATATAATAGATTGACATATAAGGAATTTGTTTGTCCCCCCCCCCCCCAAAAAAAACCCAACTGAACAAAGGAAACAGCCTAAAGAATTCTTACTGATTTTATTTAATTCAGTTACAGAGGTATGTCAAATTAATGTAATTGAATTGTTTACCAACTCTTTAATCAAGCATAAGCATAAAATGTGGAATTGAATTTAGTTTATTTCAATCAAAGTAAAAATCATTCCTTCTGGTGGGTTTTGCTTCTAACTGTACCTTTCAAAAACTAGAATTTAAAAAATACATAAAATTTTACGTATTTTAAATATTATAGGAGAATTTTAAGAATTTTTGAAAATAAGGGCTCTGTTGCTTATTTGTCCCTGTGGAAATCAAGCCCTGCACTTATTTAATAAAAGTGCATCCAATATAGGCTTCATACATCCATCATATTCGAATTTAAATAACTTAAAGCAGTACAAGACATTTATTTAAAGAAATAAGTTTTCATAAAAGGAAAATAGTAGAAAGGCCACGGCATATAAATTTGGTTGTAAACATACAATATAAATAAACCGTTCTACATTTAAGATAGATTTTAATCAAAAATAAGATCAATATTATATCCAGAAAATTAAGTTTTATTCATCGTATATTTTCATGAAATCTTATGCCATAATTTCAGGTAAGTTTGCAGCTTTAAAAAAATCAGTAGTAGAAGATGAATTATGCATCTGCAGCATAATCTTTACACATATTTTTTTGTCATCCAGTGCTATAGTATCCTTTAACAGCTTTCTTCGTTATGGTCAAATTTCATAATATCCCATTTTGGAGAGTTACAGTATAGTACTTTTGACTGTATAATAACAGCCTGCAGCACTTGTTGCAACAAGTAGTTATAAAATTTATTAGCTACACACATTTTAAATGTTTGAAAGCTTAAACAATATATAAAATGCATCTTTATGAAAGCTTTTTTATATTGAGCTACTGATTCCTTATTTTGGAGTTCAAATATTAATCTGTTCATAATAAAAATTCTTCTTTTTTTTATGGAAAACTTTAGAGTAATAAGTATGATCAAAGATAACTTTAATTAAGTATTCATTCTAGAATTTCCATCATTTTTTTCTGGTACATATAGTCATCAATAATGCCAAATGTGAAGAGTTAATATTTATTTCAATTTGGTAAGTAGCAAACTAAGAAGCAGGTTTCAAGATCCTGGCTAGCACCAGATAACTTTCATCATTTATGTTCATTACCAATGATCTCCATTTATGTGACTTTTTAAAAACTACAAGTGAATGCAACCTATCAAAATGTTTATTTCTATCTAAAATTTTTCATTTGCATGACAGAATCTTAAGTTATCCAGAGTTTGATGTATGTTTATGTAATAAAATACAAGAAATTAATATTAAAATTTATTAAATATAAATACATAACATGCTCAATTCCTGCAGACTTATTATATTTTTACACATTCATCATTTCACATTTCTTGGAAATTTACTAGATGATTTGATGTTTTCTAATGGTGCAATACCTAAAAGATGTAATCCCTGCTGCAGAATTTTCCGTGTTGCTGATAGAAGAAGCAAACGAGCCTTTTAAAACAAAAATACATCTAATTAAACTAATTACAATACAGATATTATAAATTATTCCAATAATTTGAAATTTTATAAAACTCATTAAAAAAGTAAACAATGTACATAATATAATATGAAATTGTAAATAATTCAAGTAATTTCATATTAACACAATAATCTAAAAAAAAACTGCCCATAATTATTGTACACTCATATCTAAATTTACATTTACTTGCACAGAAAACATTATATTCCATGAAATATTCAATCAATGAAATCCATTTTTGCAGGGAGTGTGTGAAAGACGGTTCTAGGAAAAAAAAGCCCACAGGAATAATGCTCACAGAAAAATGCTTACAGGCATAAATGCTCATAGGAAAAAAGCCCACACAGAAATACGCCCACACAGAAAAAAATTCACATGGAAAAACGCTCACTTAGAAATATGCTCACATGGAAATGAGCCCACTGATAAATAATTCACATAGAAATATCCCTACATTAATGAATCAATAATTAATCGATTTGAACATCGTACACCTACTTGAATTTTCTAAAGAAAAATTATTTAAATTACCAAAACAACTATGGTATATATTTCAAAAACTTATGTATTTCAAAAACTTAGATTCAGTTGCTACATAAGATTAACAGATGGGCCGTTTTGAATTAAAAGGAGAGGAGAAAGGATGTAAACATGAAACAGAATTATACAGTAAAAAATTATTATAATTTTAATTGTTAAAAAATAATAAATATAAGTTACACATTTTTAATATAAACATTTAGAAGAATAATGAATGAGAATTTAGAATGATTATTTTATTTAAATTAATTAAAATATTTAATTTTATCATCGATTTAATCATAGTTTCTTACATGATTCACAATTACCAAGTGTAGGTTTTTCATGTTTTCTTTTTTTTTTTTTTGCTTCAGTACATTCTGTATTTACATTAGCTAATAACAAATGTTGAGAGGCTAAATCTTTTTTCAGTCCGTTAAATAAAAACCACATACTGGGATGGCTACAATTAAATAATGAATTTAGTGCAATGAGAGCTTTTGCAACCATTTGTGGTTTTAGGAGATTTTTCAAAGGCTGCTTTATAATGTTCAACTGAGAGGCATCATCAAAGTGCCTAAAAATGTTAATTTTATTTCTAAAATTTTAAATTTCTGCAAAAATTTTACAACTTTTTTGGCTCAAAGCTTAAATAACTACCTTCAAACATCAATTTCTATGGATTCACATCAAGGGTATGCAAAAATAGAGTACAGAAACAAAAATTAATTATTAGCAGTTACAGGGAAAAAATGTCATGCAGGGGCAGTGGTATAAAATATTACAGTACATGCAAAATTTTACTACAGTTTTCACGCTTTTATTTATCGCCCCTGAAAAGGTTAATGTGAGCATTTGTCCATGTGAAACTAAGAAGCTTGTGAGCTTTTTTCCGTGTGAGCATATTTCTAAGTGAGCATTTTTCTATGTGGGCATATTTCCTTGTGGCCTTTTTTTCTGTGAGCTTTTATACCTGTGAGCATTTTTCCTGTGGGCATTTTTCCGGTCATCATGAAAGAAAAGCCTAATTATCATTATCCAATCAAAAGTGATTCAGCATTTTCTGATAAGCGAATCAATGCATTATGTCATCTGATGATGAATTGAGCACTTTGTGCAAAGAATGAATGAATTTCTTCAATACAGCATATGCTTTCAGTGCATAAAGACTCAAAACAGTTTGTCATGGCTTCAAAATATCAACTGAAAAAATCTGAGATACTACGATTTATCAGTCATTCAAAAGCAGGGCAGATAACCATGAAAGCATCAAGATGTGGAATATTTCAAGACAGAATTCTCTATGTTAGGAAAAAAATTTCAGAACTCTGGAATTGTTGTAAAGAGACCAAGACGAGGTCATAAACGAATAAAAACAGCTTTCCAAGATCGATATTGGGCAATAACTTCCCATCATAACAGGACATCTACTGCTTGGCAGTTACGTTCAGAATTTGCAGCCACCACTGGAAATGTATCATGGCAAACTGCATGCAGTGAACTTAATGAAACAGGCTTTTATGCCAGAATGCCAAGGGTACCTGTTTCACTATTTTTACAGCAAAAGATGGATTGTTTTAATATGGGGACCGGAAAGAAATGTCGTTTCTGCGCATGTCGACAACAACATGCTAAGGGCAGAAGTGGAAGCAAATCCATGTCAACACTCTTAACCAACCTTGGTTGACCATGCAAGAACATTTAAAGCAGAATGGAAAAATAAGCAAAGCAGGTGTTTGAGTCCCCCATAATCTGTCTGAAGAGAACAAAGCCAACCGATCCATCACATGCAATGTATTGCTTCAACGGCACCATACAGAACCGTTTTTTGATCATTTGATTACTGGAGACAAAAAAATGGGTGCTATATGATAATCCAAAATGCAAAAGGCAGTTTTAATAGGGGTTACAAAGAGTTTACATCCCCAAAAGGCGCTTATGTGTGTTTGGTGGAGTATTCACAGAATTGTTCATTTTGAATTGCTGAAACCTGGACAAACTGTTAATGCAGATCTTTATTGTGAACAATTGGATCGAGTGAACCAATCTTTAATCGAAAAATATCCGGTGATTGTCATTAGAAAAGGCATCATTCTGGAAAACGACAATGCAAGAACGCACTGTGCAAGACGGACACTGGAAAAAATGAATGAATTGGGATGGGAAGTGCTGCATCACCCACCATACTCCCCCAATATCATACACTCGGATTTCCATTTATTCCGATCCCTACAACATTTTCTTAGTGCCAAAAAATTTGAAAATTGAATGATGTTCAAAATGCGATCTTGAGATATTTTACTCAACCAACTGATTTATATCGATCCGGGGATTGAAAATCTGCACACTAGATGGCAAAAGGTTGTTGATAACGAGGGTGATTACATTATTGATTAAAAATAAAAACGTGTTAAAAATTTATTCGTGTGAATTTAATGTAAGAAAGCGGCATTACTTTCCGGTCTCCCTATTAATTGGTGCTAAGGACATAAGAACAGGAATTAACAACAATAGTCCAATATTCTCTTTACTAATGAGTCAAGGTTTAGTTTATCTAAACATGCTTACATCTGGAGGGAGACAGGGATACAAATCTTTCTTCAAACATTATGAAGAATGAACATTTCAGAAATGCAGGTACAGGGAGGAATAATAAACATACACCCTTACACATTTTCAACAGATCTCTGACTGGCCAGAAATATCAAAATGAATTCTTGGAACCTCATGTAAGACTTTTCAGAGATGCATATGGATCTGTTCCTGATCTTAATCTGATAGAGATCTCTATATGGAATTACTTGAGAAAAGCAGTTGCATATATATCCTCTTCTTAGAGATATAAATGCCTTGAAGACTGGACTGTTGGAGGAGTGGAATTTAGTATCCCAAACTGTGGTTAATAACATTATTGGCAGTAAGAAAACACATTTTGACATGTACGTACAAGTCAAGGGAGATCACATTCCATATTAAATTCATAAACCTTAATTTATTTCTATGAATCTTCCTTGTAACATATTTTTATTGATTTTGACTGTTTAATGCTACAGTTTTATGTCATATGCAGTGCTCTTAGTTTTTTTTTTTTTTTTTTCCTTCCCCTTTGTATTTATGTGCTATGATGCTATGTATCATTCCACATAAATTCTGAAAAGTGATTTTATGCATGTAAAGATAATTTTAGATACTAGTATAAATTAAAGCTTCCCATCCCTTTTCATTTTAATTCATATTACACTGAAGTGCTACTGAATTATGGATAACAAGTGAATAATAAGCTGGGTCTCCTCCTGCTTTGATAATGGCTGCCAAACAACAAGGGATACATTCAATAATTTTGAGGAAACAGTCTAAGGGAATGGCTTACCAAACATCGGATAAAGCTGCCCATAATTCAAGAAGGATCATGCTAGTGTTGTGTGATATGGTTTTACACTTTTTTCCAAAACAATCCAAAGTTTCTCAGTAGGATTTAACTCAAGCTTCTGGGTAATCAATTCATGACAGAGAAGTCAGAGGAATGCTCATCTAACCAGGCAGTAGTCAACCAGGACCAGTGAGAGGTGCAGTTACTTTGCTGGAATACTCCATTTCCATGTGAATGATAGGATAACATAAATGGATGGAGATGATCGCCCAGCAACTCTACATATCGAATCATACTAAGTGAGGTTACTGCATGCTATTCAGTTCTAGTCCTCTGAAATCCATTCTCTTGCCTAGGCAGCTCAATGGCACGTATTGAGCAATGATACTCTCGTGGGTCTATGGCCCCCCAAAAGCCCATATGTGAAGAAAGCGTTGCACAGTCCATTTACTACTATATGAGTGGCACCGTGATTCAGATGGGTGGTAATTTGAGCCAATGTTTGGCTTTGCCGGTTATGTACAATACAGCTGAGACATCTCATGCTACATTCATTCAAGGATAATTGTCCTTTACAATTTGCCCAATCGTTAAGTTTCCCCCCTCACCATCCGTGTAGTCTCAGTATACTCTTGACACTGTCAACCTTGACAATCCCAGCCCTCTAATGATTTGGGAAACTGAATGGCCCATGCATCGAGTGCCCACTATCTGTTTACAGTTAAAAGTGTCTAAATTAGAAGTTTTACCCATGCTGGCAATTGAAATGACGGATTAGTAACAACCATAGTACTAGCTATATATGCAGTTACCATAATGAACTCATGTCAGCATAAATGCACTGCAGCGCTATACTATTTGCATAGCCATGTCTATTCTTAATTCAGTGGTATGTCATTATATTTACATAAACAAATATGATAATTTCACTATGCATATATAATCGGACAAATTAGATTTGAAACTACATAAATTATGAATTTAGTGCTAAATTAATTTTTTTTAATCAGGATTAAACCTGACCACTTTCAGAATATATCAGCATACCATTATGAAGGATATTAATAATCACTTTTAAACATTTAATCTATTAGATTACTCAGAGCAGAATCATTTTGTTTTAATAAAAATTATAATATTATACATAATTATTAATATTTTTAAGTCTCATCTTGATAATTTTATAAAAATATTTGATTAAAGTAAAATACTTATTTGGCAATAAAATGTTATTCAGCAGCTGAATATTTACAGTATTGCATGACTCAAACATTATATCAAGAAACTTTTAAATAAAAAGCAACTAGAAATAACATCTGTTACATGCTATTTCTATAAGTTTTATTTATTTAGTTTATCATTTCCTAGGAAAAAACTATAGAAATCAATTTCAAAGGAATCAGAAACATGGCTTCACAGCTTTAGAAATGGTGGTATGTGTAGAATTTTAGGTGAAACTAGTGCCAATATAAGGCAGATTTCCGCTTAATTTTATGTTTAATATTGTTGCACATCTCTTCCATCAATTAGTAAAGTTATAAATGTTTTTTAAACATGATATATCCCTTGACTGAACAAAATTCTATTTTAAATTGGCGTTAGGAAAGACCATGCCAATATAAATAAAAATTCCATGACTAATTTATAGCTTTCAGCATTTCCTTTTATATTTCAATACTTTTCCCAAAGGCTTCTTCTAATATTAATTTCTTACATTCAATACTGTCAGGTGGTAATCCCTACATATAATAAAAGGAATAACCTGTCTGTCTGTCTGTGTCTCTCGTTCGTGCTGCTCGTAAGCTAATAAACCCAGGGCTACGAAATTTGGTACATAGATGCATCTACTAAAGAGCCAGTGCACCTAGAGGTGTTTTTTTAAATTTCGAATGAGTTTTTTTTTTTTTTGATGAAATCACATCAAATTCATGGCAGGCAGCAATAATAGCATGCAGCCATTGTTGCTGGATATATCACTGTTGCCATTGTTGCTGATATCAGCACTGTTGCCACTCTGAAAAATGAAAGTGATAATTCTGTATAGTTTTCAAATCTAATGTTTCTCTTGGATACTAGTCATTTGTCAGGTTTGTCAAGAGGACGTTTGTTTTAAAAGCCAGATGAAGGCTGGTCACATAGTGGCTAGTATAATACAGTCAAAAGTCTTTAAACCGGACTCGCCGGGACTTTGGCGAGTCCGGATTATTGGTTTTTCCTAATTATAGATCACCAGTTTAAATCTGGTAAGATGGCATGCAGAAATTATAAAATTAAAAATATGAAACCATAATTTATGAAATAAAGAGCAATTATGATCTAAAGGGTATCAAAATTTTACAAAAAAAAAAAAAAAAAAAAAAAAAAAAAAAATATTTATTTGTTTACTTTATTAAACATTTCTTTCAACACATACATTACGCATAGTCGTAATTAGAAAATTGCAACCAGAAAACTATTTGATGTGTATTCGTGATATTTATATAATGAGGAGGAATTTGATTTAAATCATATCGAAGACGGAGTACATCGAGATGAAATACTAGATTTAGTAAGGAATAATAAGCCGAATAAAATAAAAACATCTGCTCTGAAGATAAGGATAGTGCTGACAGATCAACTTCCAGTTCATTGCGTGCTGCGTCGTTCCCCCTCCCCCGCAGAGCAGCGTGAAAGTGATAAACATATTTCGGTATGATTAGAGAATCAAAGAATATGCCTTCTTCCATTTTTTGCAGGATTCCACTTTTTGTTTGATGGACATCGGAACATGCTTTCACTTTGTAGATCCTTTGGTAGCTCCAGAATTTGAAATTCTTTTTGACATAATCGAAAGTTCAAGCTTACTTTTATAAAATTGCTCTAACACTCTACAAAACATAATAAGCCAGATCCAATTAGAAGATTAAGGCACAACGCAATCTGCAACATTAACTGAAATAGATAATTACACAATTTTAGCTTAGCTTATACCGTCCGTTATACATTAAACGCACATTCGTAAACGTATTATGCGCATGCGTAGACGCATATGTGCATGCATAAAGGTATTATGCTAATGCGTTAACACATTATGTGTTGACGCATGCGCAGAAAGTTTGTAGCTTTGAGGTCCGGATTACAGAATTTTGACAGTATAAAGAGGATTTTATAATTTCAAGAAATTATTAGAGAAATGCAAAAATGATTACGTTCATAAAAAAATTAAAGTAATCTGTATTTAACAGTAATATATTAGAAAGAGTCAGTATTTTTCATCATCTAAGTGGAAATTTTTCTTTTCTGCATAAGCCAAAATTTAATCACCCATCGATGTACATAATAAACATGGTGTTCTTTGTGAGTTAATGAAATGAAAATAATCATTAACAACTTTTGAATTAAAAAAACAAAGTGAGAGAGAGAAAGCTTTTGTTTGTACCATGAACTAAATTTTCAAGTGCCATTGATAACAACACTAGATAACAAGAATCTTTTGAAGTTTTTATTTTACTTAAAAGAAATTTTTAATATATCAAGTAACTGATGAGTAATTAAAAATCCTATTCTAAATTTTTTCATAAAATCTACTTCATGTTCACATACTTCCAATAACATGTAACTTCAAATCTGTTAAAAGTCTTTAAAAGTTTTGTTTACAAGATTTATTTTGAATTCTTAAGTTTCCTGAATGTACTCAGTTAAAAGGAACACTTTATATATTACTGTAAGAGGCAAATTTATAAATAGTTTGCCATTCTGTTCTGACAAAAAATTTAACAACTTAGGGAATGTTTTAGACCCAGCAAAGTAATTTGATACACTTATATATATAATTTTAATCACTTAATTTATTCGGAATGAAGAAGAAAGTAATAAAATAGTTCTTTACTTTTATCACAATGATTCTGTCTTCTTTTACATCAAGTTTCAATACATTAGTGGCTTTGTCAGTTAGATGCCTATATAATACAGGTTTAAAAAAAAATTTAAAAAAACACTGAATTAGGTATCACAGAAATAGAACAACTGTTATTTGACAAAATACAATGGAATTTTGCAATATAAAAAATTACATAATGTTAACAGATAGTTTGTTGAAAAGAGAGTTATTAATTTTAAAATAAAATACCAATAAAAACTGTACATATGCTTTTTGAATTTGAAGTTGAAACATTTAAAACATGGGTTCCCAAAGCTTTTTTTTTTTAATCACATTTCTCTACTACCAAAAATGAAAATTCCCATGGCCCCTTCGTCAAAAATAATATTATTACCTACCTATAAGCGTAGTAAAAACAAATATTTCTATAATAAACAAAGGTTTTTATTATAGAAATATGCTGTTTCAGACACATATGATAAATAAATACGATGGACTAGCTTGCATATTTTTGACAAGATGGAATTCTTGGATGAACAGAAGAAAGCATGCAACCTAAATCACTAGTAATACTGAGTTCACTTTGACACTGTTTTTATTGCTACAACTACTGAAATTATTATTATTTTTTTTTTCTCAGAAACAAGTGCTTAAAAATGGTAAGTACAGTTGCAGTAACTACTCTGCTATGATGGGATATGAAAATGGTAAGTACAGTTGCAGTAACTGCTCTGCTATGATGGGATACACTTTGAGATATCTTACCCCAAATAATGGCTTATCCATCTTCTCAAAGTCATATTTGGCTGCAGAATCATTTTTAATTTTCAAAGCTTGCTCTTGTATTGTTTCTGACAGCACATCTATGTCAACATTAAAAGGATCCTTTGCTAATCTGTAAATGTTATTATCACATGAGTTAGGGAAGTAACGTTTGAGTTCATCAGTAAGGTTCTGCAAATGATTTGATATTTTATTCTTAGCATCAGTATCCATAAAATCCTCCTTAAAACACACTTCTTCCAGGATTCCAAATAATATGGAAAAGCAAGAATAACTGCAAGCTAAATTTTTTTGTTCTCAGAGTTGCCACTTATCAGCATATACTGTGATGACATCCTGCTTTGATGTGGATTATAAATTATGTTCGAATCTCTTTATAGTAATTTCAAGTTTACTGAGTTTAATGAATTAAAAATATCTGATAGATAAGTCACCTACGAAGGGAGGGCACCTAGGAAAAATATACAATTATAACTTTTGTTTTCCACAATTTCCAAATTTTAAAATATGTTTATACATTTTATAAATTTCAGTTACTTCATATTATTCATTGTATTGGTCAGAAATGCAGCTACATGATTTACACAGCTACATTTAAATGATTTTTTTACATATCAGTATTTCTCATGAAGCTGGCATAAGTCAATAAGCAACTTCTGTCACTGATTTCATTTTTTCTAACATTTGGGTCATGTAAAAAGTTCTGCAATTTTTCAAACCAAAGTGCATATTTTACTAATTATTTTATTACTTTCATAAGATATTTTTCCCATAGTTTGATAAATGTCAAACAAAGACAATGAGTATGGCTGGGATATTTTGTGCTCCCCCCATATTCACTAGACTTTACTGCCTTGCTAGGAGTTAACTTCTTTGAAAACAGCCAAACAAAATTTTTACAGCTTCTTTATGAGCAAATCTAATGACTTCTTTTGAAAAAAGAATTTTCTAGCTGCAGACAGAAAGGTCATAGAACAAAATGGTTCAATAAAAATTTCTCATGTTTTTGTACAGCTTTATTAATTTAAATTTTTTTGCCAATATACACTTTGTTGCAAAAAAAAAATATATATATATATATACACCTCCAAAAAAATTGAACTACAAAACAAGGCATGTAAACCTGGTTTGGTGAGTACTGTAAGTGATTAAACTTCAGCATCAATCAGCATTGTGGAGCAATACAACATGCATCTGAAGCATGCAGCTGTTAGAATGTAAAAGGGCAGACTTTGAGCATCACAGGGCTAAATGAGGCTGGTTGGTATAACAGGTGAATTGGCTGGCATATTGGTCGAAGCAATACGGTCATTGTCAGTTGCTGGAATCAGTGGCTCAACAAAAACATAGTCAGCCACTATAGAGGTACAGTGGCTTGATATGTCCCCAGGTTACCAATGTGTGAGATAATTGTACAATTAGAACTGCCACGTTTTCACTAACAGTTACCCTTGTTTCAATCCCATTTGACAACACCGAGATCTCTGTATTGCTACTCATAAATAAAACGCTCTTTTTCCCAAGTTTTTGATCATTTGTTTATCTACTTGAATACTGTACTATTGTAGAGTTTCAAAGTTGTAGCTCAGTTCTTTTTGGGTGCATATATATATATATATATATATTTTGGCAACAGAGTGTATAATAGATCTTGCATTTCGCTTATACATTATTTTCATGAATTATGGAATAGTTAGTGATTTTTTTCTTTGACCAGTTGATTTGTAACAACATCCCAATTGTTTTATTTATTTTTACTTGAAGGTTTGATGCTAATTTATTCTTGATTCTTTTCAACATATCAGGAAAGATGTAAAAGCAAAAATTTGATTCTTCTTTTCCATAAAATGTATCATTACATACACACATGAATTAAATATAGTATTTTATTACCTGTCTTTATCAATCTAGAACTATACAAATATTCAGTTTTTAACTATCACTTACCAAAGAGTTGAGAGATACTGGAAAATAAAGCAAGGTTCTAAATGTATATATGACTTGTAAAACATTTCATCGAACCTATAAAATAAAAAATTTATATTTAATTTGCATATTAAAGTTAATTTATTTCTCAGTTTTTCAGTATGAACCCAATTAATGCACAGACACAAATAACTATAACATTTAAGTAAAAAATGTTTTTCAAATGTTCCCAAAACAAAGCTTTCAGAAGCATGATTTAAAAACTGATTATCAGAAAAAAAAAAAAAAAAAAAAAGATTAAAAGAATAAACAGCTTAAAATAAAATATAAATAATGCATAAATCCTTTTAAACATCTTGTATGTATACTGCGCAAAAAAAGAAAAGAAAAAAAGGGACAGTTCAATACCTCCCATTCTATGGGCTGATTGACAAAATTCAAACTGCGTTTTTCATGTCTCGAAAGCGCGACTTAGGATATATATTAGGTTTATATATAGCACCATTCTAACACAGGTATTTTGGCACAAAATCGGACTTTTTCTGAAATAACATACCAATTTTTTTTACATATTTCTATTCTACAACTCAAATTATGTCAGACTGCCAAGTTTTGTAAAAATCATACGAGTAGTTTTTAAAATATTAGTTCCTCAATGTTAATTGAATTTGGCATATATCTCTTTTTTTTTATTAAACTTTTTTTTTTATTTTTTCCTTTTACATTTCGAAATTTAGGTTCATTCCAAATAAAATTCACCAATTTTTGTGTTTTATTTTTAAAATTTCCTATTTTTTAAATAATTTTTGTAAATTTTTCGAAAAAAATTTTGAATTATAACCTACAAAATTTTTACCATCATCTTAAGAGTAGGTGTGCTTAGAACTACACCTACTCTTAAATTAAATTTAATTAAATAATTAAAATGCTTAGCATCTAAAGACTATTGAAATGGATTGAATTGACCAAGCACTCAGACCTGAATCTGAAAACTCAGACCAAGCACTGATGAAATGGATTGAATTGACCAAGCACTCAGACCTGAATCTGAAAACTCAGACCAAGCACTGATGAAATGGATTGAATTGGATTATTAAGTTACAGCAAAGCAGAGCTATCTGCTCTAAAAAGAGGAATGCCTTCGTGAAGAACTTTCTAAGGGAAACCAGCTGGCAAACACATTACAGTGAGAAAAACCATGAAAACACCCATGCAACCAGCCCGTTCGCCAATGTGAACTACCAGTGTTCAGTGACTTTACTGCTCGGCCATTTGTGGGCCTTTATAAAATGGAAGGTGATAACTTTATTTAAAATGAATGTCAGAAATACCAAGATGTTTCGAAAAGTTGGATACTTTTTAATATACTTGCAGAATGCCTGAAAAAAAGCAAGCCATTAAGAAGAAAAAAATTAATATTTTTGTATTTTTTTAATTTAAAACTTTTTAATCATTTGATATTTGATTCTTGCGATTTCAAAAATAAAATATTTGACTAAAATATGAATAACATTTTAAGAAACTAAATGTAGGATGATAAAATTGTGCAAAGCAATGAGCACAATGTTAAAGCTATTTAAAGCAATATGTGCAAGTCATCCTAAGTTAGAATGTTGGTTATACATCTTTCTCATTTATATATCTTTTCCGAACAGAACATTGAAAGGTGTGTTAACTGTGCTTTAATGTATTTTCTATTTTAATATATTCAGTTTTCAGATGCATCGTAGTCTGGGACACAAAGTATTCTTCCAAAAGAAACGCAATTCAAATAAATAAAATAAAATCTTGGAAAATTTATATAAATAAATATATTTAAAATGCTAAATTACGAAAGAATAAATAGAAAATTTTAAACAATTGATCTAAAGAGACAATGCAACACAAACTTTTAAAATAAAATTCTAAAAAATTTAAAAAATTACTTAAAATAATAACTGTTACAAAAAAAAAAAAAAAGAGAGAGAGAGAGAGAACTATTAAAAAAAATAAACGATGCACTTTATATTTAAAGTATGCATTTCGAATGGGTAAATAGAAATTTTTAAAACAGTTATTTGAAAGAAACCATGCAACTTAAACAATTAAAATGAAATTCGAAAAGGAAAAAAAATATATTTAAAATAATAACATAAAAATATAATATAAAGAACATTATTTGAAAGAAAGAACACTGTGATTTTTTTTTCCTCTCACTGGAAAAGAAAATAGGTTGCCATATATTAAGAAGTTCGCCAAGTGAACTACACTTGGCGCAAACTGAAAAAAAAAGTGACAACATAAATTTGTGAATTTCTGCGTAAATTTTGCAACAGATTTTATAAAATTTCATATTTGGAAAAAAAATATGGAAAAAAATTGGTATGTTATTTCAGGAAAAGTCCAATTTCCTGTCAAAATAACTATGTTAGAATAGAGCTATATATAAATCTAATATATATCCTAAGTCGCGCTTTCGAGACATGAGGAACGCAATTTGAATTTCGTCAATCGGCTCAGTAGAACGAGAAGATATAAAACTGTTCCCCCTTTCTTTTTGCACATTGTTCAAGCATAAAACAGGAAAACACAAAAGACCAATTATGCAGCATTATCCAAAATGTAAAAAAAAAAAAAAAAACCAAAACCCTAATAAAATTACACGAATGATTTTTTTATCATTTTTAATTCTTACTTATGAAAGCAAAAGATCAATGCTTATGCTAAAAATATGCATTTGCTAAAGGAATGTGCTTCCAATCACACGATGAAAGCACATGATAAAGAAGAAAATTCCTTGCAAAGTTTTACAGCTTTAATAATCAGTATTGCTGACCCTGTTGATTAATACTGAGAATTTTATTCCATATTAAATATGAATGAAAATCATTAAAAAAAGACTGTTTTTCTTCACAACTTTGCATTAGTGAAGTGACATTCGTTTTTGGAAACAATAAGCCAAATAAGATATTATATTTATCAGTTTGCTGTTATAAATCACTGAAGTTTGACTGAAATTTCACATAAGAAATATAAATCATTCGCTATCGATGTTAAATGAATTCTATGTCAGAAACTGGATTGAATATTGTTTTAAAAGATATACTCAGTTGCATAGATGCTGATTCTAGTTATCCATTTGGTGATTTCCCTCCATTAAAGCAACCTTTTATCTGTTAGGAAAAATGAATAATTAAAATGTATTTGGTGCACAAAAAACCCTTACTCTAAACATAAAATAAGCTTTGAACAGTTCAAAAATAATATTAATTTAAGCAGTTCATAAATTCTGATATGCTGTATTAAATCACATATTCAATATACATAAATAATGTTTTTAATACAGTACAGTACAAAGTCCGTAATTCAGAATGATCTATAATCCAGACCTCAAAGCCACAAACTTACGCATGCACGTTTAATGCACGCGCCCGCTAAGGATGCACGTAAAGCATTTACCCATGTGCGCTTCCGATAGTGAATAAAGTGACAGAGAGGTTACTGAAAACGAAAAAATTTCGATTTACAAGTTAGTCGGTATTTTCGACACAGCAATTACAGGACTTGAACAATGGAACTTTGTAACTGAACAAGAAATTATATCTGTTTATAGAATTAAAGAGAAAGTATTAGCACAAAAAAAAAAAAAAAAAAAAAAAAAAAAAAAAAAAGAGAAGCAACTTAAACAACTTACATTGAAAGAAATGTTTTCTAGTAAACAAATAAATATTAAGCTTTTTTTTTTTTTGTAAATTTTGATACCCTTTAAATCATAATTGTTCTTTATTTCATAAATTACAGTTTCATATTTTTAATTGGATAATTTCTGCATGCCAGCTTACCAGATTTAAATTGATGATCTATAATCCGGAATCACCGAAGTCCTGACGAGTCCGGATTATGGACTTTATACTATAAAAATATGCGAAAGTGATTTGTATAAATAATGAATTTCTACAGGAATGCTATAATGAATTTCAAAGGATTAAAAGTTTAATTCACTATATCTGGTGGTTTGCTATATTCGGCACCCTGAGAAAAATGGATTATATCATAAAAAGAATATCAATTGACTGATGAATCACAATGAAAAAAAATCTGGACTCATCTAGACTTCAATGTTTCCAGATTTGGGATTTTTTTTTTTTTTTTTTGGATATTAGATCATTAGTTTAAATATAGTAAGATGATATACAGAAGATATAAAATTAAAAATAAATAATGAAGCATTTATGGTCTTAAAAGAATCAATATTTACCCTCCCCCCCCCCAAAAAAAAAAAAGCTGAGCATTTACACTCATGTCCAAAATTATCTTTACATACCCAAAAATGATGATATTCAATGAAATATCGAATCAATGTGATCCATATTTGCAGGGAATGTGTGAAAACCAAGCCTAATTAGCATTATCCAATCAAAAGTAATCAAACGGTTTGTGATATGCAAATCTAGGCGTTACGTCATCCAAGGGTGAATCAAGCGCTTTGCACAAACTGAATATTTGAGTGAATTTCTGCAACATAGTGTTTGATTTCAGTGTGTAGGGACTCAAAGCGGTTTGTTATGGCTTCGAAGTATCTTTTGGAAGAATCTCTAAAGTGGCGAATTATCGGCCGTTTAGAAGCAGGGCAGTCAATCATGGAAACAGCCACATGTCTGAATATTTCAAGACAGACAGTCTCTAAGCTATGGAAACAGTTTCAAAATGATGGAAGTGTTGTAAGGAGGCCTGGACAAGGTCGGAAACGAATGACAACTGCTTCTGAAGATCGGTACCTGGCATTAACTGCCTGTCGTAACAAAAAGGCTACTGCTCGCCAGTTAAGTTCAGAGCTTGCAGCCGCCACTGGAACTGTTGCATCACGGCAAACAATATACAGAAGGCTTAATAAAAAAGGCCTTTATGCCAGAAAGCCAAGGGTATGTGTTTTACTGTCTCCACAGAAAAAGAGGGATCACTTTAATTGGTGTAAAGAACATCAAAACTGGACTGAACATCAATGGTCCCATGTTCTCTTTACTGATGAGTCGCGGTTTAGTTTAACTGGTGATTCTAAACGTGTTTACATCTGGAGGGAGTCAGGAACACGAAATGATCCCTCGAACATTGTGAAC